ATACGCATTTTATTTTATTATATATTAATTAACACTACTTATATATTATAGACAGTCAACAACATAATTTACTTATTGAATATTTAAGTATTTTCCGTAAATAATTTTATTATCAGAATTATATAATTATAAGAATGCATCAATGTATCTTTAAACGTTTAATATCCAGACTTTCATTATATTCTAGGCTTAAATATCATTACTTTTAAAACTTTCGCAACGTAAATATCTGTTAAATCCGTTAATTTGTGAACTTTTTGTTATTTTCAAAAATTTATAAAACTGAGAAATACTAGGGAAGGATAACTTGCATATAATAAAGTTTGTTACGATATTTCTTTTTTTGGAATTTCTTTTCTTTTGTAAACATGTAATTTTTAATTAGTGTGTCATCACCGGCGAATCTGTTGCTAATCTAGACTGTCAATCATTTATATTCATCATTATATTTTTCCTAGAATCCTTGAGCAGAGTTTTTTTTTCCTATTTTTGGTCGCATGAAATGCCACTCGTACAGTGTACACTCCCCTGCCATTAATCACCGGATGTTTATCAAATTCGGAAGTAATCGGCAAAGGTATGAAACTTTTTTTTCCCATTTCCGGAAAACTCACATAATTTTTAATCGAAAAAAATTTTTATTTAGGCACTAAACATGTGTTCTATTTATTTATATGCTTAATATTTCGTGGGATTACCATTTGAAGTTTTAACAGCCTCAACACAATGAGGCATACTTTCTATTAAATTGCGATAAGTTAATTCATTTATCTGAGACCACTCTTCTAACAAAAAAGTAAATAATTCTTCTTCACTAGATGGTAATGGATTTCTCCTATGGACTCAGCATTCTAACTCATCCCAAAGATGTTCAATAGGATTGAGATCCAGATTCTGGGAGGTAAAGATGGATCCCTAAAGTATTTAGCATATAAAATTTATATCCCTTTACATCCATATTCCCTAGAGGACATAATTCCTAGCTCTTTATTTCAATAGAAACATAATTTCAGAAATGATTTGTATAGATGCTTAAAATTATAAAGAATTTTTGTAGGTAGTTTTTTTTTATTTCTTAATATAGAAATGAAAATTTTTAATAATAAGAGACATTTGAATTATGTCCTTATAAATAATTTAGGGACTTATTTTTACTGGGAAGGTCATGAAATGCAAATAATATATTTTTTTCTTTCCATTTTGTTATGATATATGCTTGATGTGTTGGACAGTTGTTGTCTTGAAATATATAATTATTTTGTTCTGAAAGGATTTCTAAGAATAATAATAAACTATTATTAAGAACTTCTATATAATTTTTTGCAGTTTGACATCTATTAATTTTCACTAATAGATCTAAGCCACTTGCAATAAACATCTCCAAACTATAACCCTCTTCTATCCAATTTAAAAATTGACACAAGGCAATTTACATTATATTTCTCTTTCGGTAATTACCAAACATAGTTACGACTGTCACTTCCAAATACCTTGAAGTGAAATTCGTCATTCCAAATAATAGAATTCCACTCAGAAGTCCAATTTAACCATTCAATCATCCAATTTTTACGGATAAGTCTATTTTTTCTTTAACAAATGGTTTTCACTTGCCAACTTGAGTGTAATAACCTATTTTGTATAACTTTCATTGTAACATATACATGTTAACTTCAGTTGATGTTGATTATATAAATTTGTTATATAAAACACTTAGTATAATTTTTTGATCTTTTTTAATAATTTGTAATAAATGGCGGATATCACAATCGATTAGTTTAGTTAGTTGTCCTTTTTGAGCAGAAAGCTTTACTTGACCAGTTTTTTTGTAATAGTTAATAACATTATAAATTGTTGATTTTGGTATATTAAATGTTTTTACAATGGCAGGAGGTAAAGAACCATACTTCCAAGCACTTATTATTTGAAAATATTTACTTTCTGATAACTTTTTACGTTTTTGTGCCATTGTGAAAAATTTCAAGCACAAATATAAAAAAAAATATTTTTTTAAAAGCCCAGCTTTTGTTCATCTCGACAATATAAATTTTATACAATGTGTCATCAATAATGGCACAAAAAAAAATTTTTAATGATTTCTTGCATTCACTGATCATATCGAAAATTGATTAATGTCTGGTGATTAATGGTAAGGGAGTGTATATGCATGTAGTATGAAATTTCTGACTATATATTATGGTTTATAATACGTGATCTGCAAATTTGATCATGATTATAATCACATGATTAAAAATATATAAAAATAAAATTTGGAAATTTCACTACACATGCACGACAAGGGTTCCACGAAAAAACAGGCGCAGTACTACCTTTTTTAACCATGAATATGCAATTTCAAATACACAGTCAAAGTCGATATAATGGACTCTCAATATAACGGACACTAAGTAAAATCTCGATATATTAGATTGATGTTGAGAACGGATTATAGTATTTTATCCGCTATATCGAATTTCTTCATTATAATGGATTTTTGAAAATTTTTATTAATGGAACTGACTAGTCCATTATATCAACTTTCACTGTATATATGTTAACAAAAAGATCACAAGAAGGAAGATGGCGCTCCGATCACAAAGAAAAAAATTATTCTACCTGCAATCAATTCATAATAGTGGTTGTAAGTATCAATTCATAACAGTGATTGTAAGTTCTTCAAAGACCTCACCTCCCTTAAAAATCAAGCTTCTGGCTAAATCTTTACAAACGAACGGTATGGAAAACAACCGGCTGGCGAAGGAACTAAGAAAAAGTCAATTGTCTTGAGCAAATTTACTAATAACGAGGAACCAGAAATTCTGATCGAAAAATAGTTTATTTTGAAATTGATGATATCGAAAGATGCAAAACAAAGATTCAGAGAAAAAGTTAGGAAATGAAAAATATCCGACGATATTACGATTGTTTACGAAGGTAACTCAACAATCAATGAAATGATTAAGGTCGAATTCTGATACTTATAAATAGTAATACATAGACTCTCGTCGAGCGATATTTAAGTTTGAAAATCAAAAGTACTGTGCACGATTAGTGGATCTACCCTGCATTATTGAAGCTCAAAAGATGTTTAATGCTAAACAACTATATAAGGTTGCCAATATCTGTCAGGTAAATAACTATGTTCAATGAGCTGTTGTTATTTGGGTGTTGCTTAATACATTTTTTTAGATGTTGATAGTGGAATCTCCACTCGACACTTAAGAGGAAGAACAATTTTTTACTGAAAATATGAAGTCTTCAAATGTTCATTAATTTGAATGGCCGGATAGATTAACACCACATTTGAAGAATGTTTGAAAAACAAGATTTAGGAAGCGTATCTCAAATAAGGTTGAGTAATAATTATTTGCTACGTTATATTATTTTAATTTTCTGTTTCTAATTATCTGTGTTTATATCATAGAAAATTGAGGATATTGAGAAGAAAGTTGAAAAATTATTGCATGATGATTCCTTGGCAAAAGAAGTGAAATTGGTAGTTTTATAAATCATACAGATCCCCATTTTAATATGTAAGAATAAGAGAGTTAACTCGTAAACTTTTATTTCAAAAGCTTGAGAAGATACAGTGGATTCTGAGATCACGACTCCTGCTGCACTTCTCGGAAGAAACCGAATTACAGGGAGAAGACAACGATTATGATGTTGAAGAATTTGAAGGAATCAAAATTCAAGAAAAGGATTTATTAACAATGCAAGAACACGAACGAGCTTTTAAAGAAGGCTTATTCAACGAAGAGTTGGCTCAAAATGATGATATAACAAAAGAGTTTCAGATAGGTTTAGATATGATGGATCAACTGACAGATGGCAACGAGTGACGCAGAAGATTTCGAGAAAAGCAAATCTGCTTCTTCAGAAGAGGAAGACGAGGATAGTTCTTTTGAAGATCGTGAGTTTTTTTAGTTAAATTTTATTTATTTAAATCATGATATGCTAATCAGCTTAAATTTCCATGTAGAGGAAGAATTGGATAAAATCTTTGAGAAGCAAAGAACATTAATGTCAGAATTGTCAGAGTTGAATGCTAATCTACAAAAGAAGCAAAAAGATCTAGAAGTCGAGATAAATAGTATTATGAAGGTTTGTTTTAAATATCGAAAGATATTATTCATTGGTAATAAAACATATCTCCAACGTTGATGACAATTTATACACGATTAATAAAAATAGGATCAATTTCTTAATCAAATTAATATGATAACCATGGAGATAGATCAGAAAAAGTCAGAATTGGCAAGTGCAAAAACAAAGAGTATCTAAGATTAAAGAGAAAATGGAATTAAAGATTAAGGTGCTTGAAGAGAAACTTGCAATAGAACGATCTCAGGGTGGTAAATCTGGAGAAGAATCTGAAAATGAAACTTCTGATGTCAAAGGTGGAGATGAGGATAACATGAAAGCATAAACAATTAATAAATAAATTTTTATTCTTCAGGCAGAAATTTTTTAATGTAATGATAAACTGGATTTGCGTTGGAACTTTTTTGTTCATAAATATCGAATTTTTATTATATTAATATTTAGATATTGATTTTTATAAATTATAGTATAAAAAATGATTACATGTCGAAAATTCGCTTACTTTTTGTAATTACAAAAGTTGAACGTTTTTGGATCTTCTCTTATATTATATTAAGAAACTTATAACATATGAATCTTTATGCATTTATATGTATACAATGTATTTATTATAATTTTTTTATTAATTTACTTAAACATTTAATAATTTTTATTAATTTATTTATAATGTATATTTACAAATATTTTAAACTCTTAAACTAATATAAACTATGTTTTGTTTCGATATCCAATTACTAAAAAGAAAAAAGAACGAATTAATACTGTATTAACAAATATAATAAAATAAATATTTAAGAAAATAAAAATTACTTATCTATAAAAAAAAAGTTAAAATATAGTATAGGTAATACTATATTTTAACCAAAAAAAAGTTCCTTTTCTCCTCGAAAAAAAAAACCCCACAAATATTAAAAAAAATAAAAAACCAAATGAAAATTATTTGATTTTTTCGCAACGTATAGACAGAGCCACCAAAAGCAGTTTGCACGCCCAAGAAGCAGTTGACAGCTTCTATAGTTACTATATGACCTGGTGATTGTGCTGTACATCACTGGCCCCATTAATGCCATCTCGAAAGAAACAAAACCAACCCCTCCTGTGGAATCAATGGGCATTATAGGACTCAAATGAAATAAATGGAATGAGTGAAATAATAAGTCAAGTTAAATAAAAAAAGTCGATAAAAATAAAATAAGTATGTAACATTCGACTTTTTCGCAACATACATAGACAAGGTACCAAGGCTGTATACCAACTAACAATTAAAAACTATTAGTCACGATGAACCCAAAAATACAAAGCTAAGTGTTACTCGCCCATACATGAACTAGAAATGTGATAAAGGAATGGAGGGTTTTGACTAAGATTGTAAAAAGGGATGAAAAGAAAAAGAGGTCTTTAGGTATAGAAGAAGGAATTTCTTAGTCATAGAGTCGAAGAGTTTTTTTTTAAAACATTAAACCACACCTATTTATATTAGAGATAATGCGTTCGCTTGTGTAGTATCCTAGCCATGGCAAAAAAAAATGTCGGTCATGTGACTTCCAACCTATCTAATATGACTTCTGATCTATCTGATATGACTTCCTACCTATCTGATATCGGCTAATCAAAATGTATAACCATATGATAGTTTAAAAAAAAAACAAACTTTAAAACATTACATAAGAATTTTTTTTCAGAAAGATGTTATTAAAAGTAAGGTATCGATTAATATAATCAAAATGCAAGCTTTCTATCTGATTTCCAGATTCTTTGTTGATTGTAAGCCTGTAATACTTCTTGACATACATTAATTTTTCTTATCAATGGCTTCATTAAATTATCAAAAGTATCTAAGAACTTGTCATTATTGATCTTACATTCATATAATATTAATGTCATATCCATTATTTTTTTGTATTTAGCAAACTTTTCTCATTTTTTCTCTATAGTATTATTTTTTATTATCATTAATATATTTTGTAAATAAACTGTCTCAAAAGTTTTTTTAAAAAATTCGTCTTTTTCATCTTTCATAATCATTCTATATCTAAACCAGAGATTGTTTACTGAATTAATTGTTGATATTCTATTTTCTCCAAAAGTGAGTAAGGAATAATTATATTGGTGTATTGTCTTTACAAATGTAAATCGAAAACAGGTACCATTTTTTTTTGCTACAAGGTGTTTGCAAATAAGATAATGGCTATGCAAATATGCAGGACAAGAACATATCCAGTTATTTATATTGATATGATAATTTTCATCCATATTAGGCTTAATTTCAATAACTGCTAATTTGTCCCAATCTTTTTTGAAGCTCTTTCATCATATTGGAAAAGTCCGATTTGCATCAAATTGATCCATCTTAATCTCAAAGTCTGGAATTAACTGCTCTACGATAATCTGAGTAAACCAATCAAATCATGGTCTATTATAGTTACATATACTTATAATTATATTTAAGAACTCTCCAGTGACTTTTCATAATCATAGTAGTTTGTGCTAAAGGCATTGTCACTGAATATACTGATTGAGAAAAAAGATTCTAATCTTTTTTATTATACCAATTCATCCCACAGGTAACCCCAAAATTTTGTAAGATTATGATTGTAATAAAACCAATAGATCTCTTCTACACAGTTATAATAAATTTTAGTGAAACTCCAAAAAACATTTTTTGCTATAGGTATCAGTAAACTCATATTTGTATGTCTTTTTATTATTTCTAGGGATTCTTTAACTGAACTCTCTAAACAAAAAATCTCAGCATTTCTATTTGGTATTTAATTGGGATCAATAAATTCAAATTTTTGATATGTCTCTATAGCTTTTTCCGCAGTATATGTATTTGCTCTTGATCTTTTGTCTTTTACATATTAAATTATAGCATGTGTAAGATGCCAATAATATAATTGAATATTGATAATCCCCGACCATGCTTCACTTATAATTGAGATTTTGCTGGCATCTTTATTAACAAGAGAAAATATCGGTAATAATTCCATTTGTCGAAGACTAGTAAAAAATCCACGTAAGATTTGAACTCTTGTATTAATTTCATTTTTGAAATTATGACATGCTAGCTTAGTACCATCAGATATTAAAAGATAGAGATATATCAAAGGTACTCCATATCCATTATGGTTGGCATTTATAACAAAAAGCTCAAAATGTTCCTGGTTTGTTTTAAATATAGAATCAACAATAATCTCATTTACACTTTTAATGCCATTGCAATCAAGTAATTGTGTTACAAATCCAAAAGCTCTTACAAAATCATTTTCAAGATAATAAACTACTTGAAATCCTTTTGTTATAAGTTCAGGCTTTTTAAGATATAAATTTATAGATAGAAGCTGATTAATAGAATTTATAATATAAGTCTCCTTGCTAAAAATAGATGCCCAGTAATATGTTTACTCTTTTGTATATACTTAAGGATTAATATGTTGTTTGTCACAAAAACATTTGTATATTTCATTACTTTGTAAATTATATTTAGCATTTTTCTTAATCCACTCTCTTGCTTCTATAGGAAATTGAAGTTTTTGATGCTTTGGATGTGAATGCATTTTTAAATGCTATCCTTGGATCAAGACATATTGTTGTTAAGAATCAATTATAAGTGAAATATTACCCTTATAGTCATATCTATCTATTGAAACTCGAGTTTCACCTTTTCGTTTTACTGGTTGATCTTCAGCTCTTTGCCACTGATGGTCCTTTCACTGGGTATATTTGAAATATATCGTTGTACAACCATTAGTCCTTTTTTTGCTAGAGTTTAATATATATTACATATCTCCCAGTAGTAGTTAGATCTTGATTCGATTGCAACAATAATAATTCTTGAAAGTTGACGAAAATTATCCTTTATTGCTTCTAAACTAAGTACTTCTGAATGAGGATCACAGGTAATATATTCAATAAGTTGTAAATTTAATTCTATTTCGAAAGTAAATTTTATGGGTTTATCATTATTTTCTAAATTACGAAATATTATACTAAAATACTCTTCGACTTTGTCTATACTATATAGAAATCCACTTTCATCATTATTATAATGGTCATTTTAAGTATTGTTTATAATATTTACTTCCTGTGGGCTGCCTATTATTTGTTTCTTGAAGTTTTCCTTCTCAATAATTGGTTTGAAACCTTTAATATTAATATTATTCAGGTCATTATTATCATTTGATAAACTAACTTTTAGAAGCTTCCTTTTTTTCTCGATATAGAATTTAGGTCTATTCTTTGCTTTCTAGTCTTATGTTTTTCACTGCACTCATTACATATTGTGCATTCATAGCTTAAATTATTTTTATGACCATGAACAAAATCTAATATCTTCTTCACAAAATAGCAACTAGCATATACTTTAGTTAATACTTGAATAGAAACTACTAAAAGGTAAATTTTATTTATTTATTTATTTATTTATTTATATTTATTTGCATTAAGTAATATTAACTATAAAAAAAGACTACCTCAAAAAAAAAAACTCTTTCCTGATTACCCAGATTCGCCTAAAATCCGCAGTAATCAGCCAGGAGTCCATCCAAAGGCCCTACCTGCTATGGCAACATATAACAGCAGTATTCCCAGGAGTAAGGCATCACCCTCCCCCATCCAGCAACAGCCCCCAGCACCCAAAACCCAACAGAAACTCAAGCAAAAACAGCAGCTAACAACGCTCAAAGCAGGCAGCAGGCAGCAGCCAGCCACCCGGCTGGATACCCACTATAGAGGAGGGAGTGGACGCCTCCTTTGACTGGGCAGCTGACATCCGGATGGATACAGAAGAACCCCAGCGAACACCCACCCCACCCACCTTTGGA